CGGTTATTGTTTTTTGTGGCCGGCTTTAGCTTGGCCGACACTGGCTAGACGGTATCACGTGGGTTGCCAAAATTCAATCAAGTCCTGCTGTCACCAGCCAAGAAAATGAGGTCAGTTGCTTTTTTCAACTTTCAATGTAATACTGTGACTCTAGTCAGTGCACGTTCACACAAAAAGTTTGCAATAAAGCTGTTACTTATCTTATTCATCAAAAAGTAATACATATTAACAGTAGAAATAGAGGTGACATGTTGAGGTTAGTTAGTTTATGTTGGTTAAAAGTTACGAATGTTAAATTATGATAAAATGGGGCAAAAGCCCGCAGCCTGGCGGGGCAAAGACCCGCGTGCGTGTCTTTACCCCATGAATGCGTGTCTTTACCCCATGAATGCGCGTCATTGCCCACGAATGTGAGTTTTCCCCTTATCATCCTCAGTTGTTTACAATATGATTCTGTTATTTATTTCCAGGAATTACAAAAGGAAGACGAGCCAGAAACCACTCAATGAATCCTTACTGAAGGAAGCCAAGGCTCTAATAGAGACGGGTGTTTCGATTAGACAAGCGGCCAAAGTGATCGGCTTCCATGAGTCAACGCTACGGAACAGATTGAAGACTGGTGTTGGAGCAGAAAAGCTGGGGCGATTCCAGACTGTCTTTTCCAGTGAACATGAAAAACAGTTAGTAGAACATTGTAAAGCCTTGGATCAGCGATTTTTTGGATTAACTCTCAAGTCTCTCCGGTTTTTGTTGTATTCTTATGCAGAGAAAAATAACATACCTCATCCATTTTCCACTGCAACAAAGTTGGCTGGAAAGGATTTCACACATTCCTTTATGAAAAGAAACAGACTATCATTGCGGACACCACGAAAGACGAGCATTGCAAGGACGATGGGCTTTAATCGACTCCAACTGGACCAGTACTTTGACAACCTTACGAGTGTTCTTCGCCGGTACAAGTTTACACCCGACCGTATCTATAATATGGATGAAACAGGGATTCAGACTGTTCCAGGCAAGATACCCAAGTACGTAGCGCCAACTGGAAAAAAAGAGGTTGCTAAATCTGTCGCTGCTGAGCAAGGTAAAACAGTGACTGTAGTCTGTGCCATGAGTGCCACAGGACACTATGTGCCTCCTTACTTCATTTTTGCAAGAAAGAGACTAAACTTGCTTCTTATAAAGGATGGACCAACTGGGTGTGACATGAGTGTCACTGACAAAGGCTATATGAACATTCCTACATTCCTAAAGTGGCTACAACACTTTAAGAAGTTGGCGAATCCCTCTCAAGATATGCCACTTCTGTTGATCCTTGACAATCATACCTCGCATACCAGCTTGGAGGCTATAAGCTACGCCAAATCAAACCACATCCATATGCTTAGCTTACCACCACACAGTAGTCATAAGACGCAACCCCTCGACCGTAATTTTTCAGACCATTGAAAGCATATTATGACAATGCTGCGGATAACTGGACAACTTCGCATCCAGGCCAAGTCCTGAGCGAATATCACGTTGCTGAACTGTTCGCAAAGGCTTTCCAGAAAGCTGCAACGGTAGAAAATGCTGTTCAAGGATTTCTAACCACTGGCATTTTTCCTCTGGACCAGAACAAATTCACTGATGACGATTTCTTGCCTTCCGAGGTCACTGACCAGTATAAGGAAGAAGAGGATATGGATGAAGATAAGGAAATTATTATTGCCCTTCAGTCTACAGAAGCTGCTACTGCTCCTGTCGAAGTTCCGGATGTCATTGTGGGCCAAAGCTCTATTCTTGCCGATGATACTCTAGAAGAAGCCGACATAGCTCCTCCCCATGACATCTCAGGACCTTCTCATAGCAACATTGGAACGTCACCAAGTGACATTTGTCCTCTGCCAAAAATTAAAATAAACAAGAAACGTTCAGGAAAAGGTTTGAAATCGACCCTGTTAACGTCGAGTCCAAATTTGCAACGCATGGAAATACTGCAAGAGGAAAAAGACAGCGCAGAAAAGAAAAAAGTTAAAAGGGCATTGCTTCTAGAAACAAAGGCAACGGCAATGAAAAGAAAGTTGTCCCCGGATAACACTTCATCAGACTCTGATTCAGATTTCTCCGTCCAGAACAGCAGCTCTGACTTGACTATCTTGTCTTCAGGAGAAGAGGAGCTGGATTGTGTTTTAGAACTGCAACCTGGTGACTTTGCTCTTGTCAAGGTGCATGGGAAAGCCAAATACTCTTTTAGGTTGTATGTGGTTAAAGTTACTGATTGTGATGACGAGGGATACGATGGTATCTTCTACAAGCGAGCTCCTCTAACTCAAAGGTTTACAGAAACAAGTGAAGAGTCCTATTTTGAAAAGGGAGACATTATTTTGAAACTCTCTAAGCCAATTTTCAGCAGTTCAACTCGATTTAAAAAAATATGATCAGTTTTTCAAATGACCTCACTGATTTTTCAATTTCTTGAATAAAGAATGATTTTACAATGATTTTTTCCAGTCTTATGTCATTATTTTACCAATGGGGCAAAGACCCCCGGCTGCGGGTCTTTGCCCCATTGCTGGGGCAAAGACCCGCAACGTATAGATGTCAGGAAAATGCATTTATTTTGATTATTAATAAGAACACAGACTTAGTAGCCACAAACATGGCGGGTAAGTGGCTAAACTATATTCATATGAAGTTTCATAGAATACATGCGAACGGTTTTCCAGAAATGTGTAAAAAACATGAAACTGCGGGTCTTTGCCCCGACCTACCCTACTCATTGAGTCACTGAGAAGGCATTGCTTTAAGGCATTGCAATAAACTGTGTGTGTTCTTTGTTCAAACACCAAAATTGCATTTTCCCAGGTTGTTTAGTTTGAGGAAGCTGCGGCAGTGAAGTAGCCTACCCTCTAGCCCAGTTGTCAAGGATTCTTCTTCTCCTTTGTTTAAATCCATACAGGCAGTTTTAAAACTGACCTAGGATCTGTTCACGGATCACGCAGACATTGTCATTGCCCTTGAAGAGATAGGACGCTCTGATTATGGAAGCAACGTGTCCACATCACTTCTAAGAATACGCAAATTGGGAGTAAAGATCGGCACAGCCAAGCATGAAAAGCACACTGGACGCACACAAAGTCTTGTTAACCAACATAGGACTGGTACTATTAACCGCACGGCGCTGATGAATATGTTGAGAGGGGAATCTGAGCGCCTATGGGTGTGTCCGGAGTGCTGTGAAGATAATCTAACTCATAACTCATGAGAAAGTGTGTAGATGGGTAGGGAAACGTGAACAGGACCCTGACCTAAGGTCACAGATCCACCATTTTAAAAAAAAATGGCGCCAAGAACAAATGTTTTTTAAAGTTACAGCAGGGCTATTCAACTAGCGGCCCACATGCCAGATCTGGCCCGCGGAGTCCTAGCAAGTAGCCCCTGGATCGCTGCCAGCTGTACTGCATTACTGATCTTTGTTTTCTGGCGCTTAGGCCTATGGCCTACGATGACCCCCATTTTCATAACTTTGGCTCAGATTGAACTTAATTGAATAGCCCTGGTCTGGGGGATTGTCTTCATTCAACTAGGTTACACCACACGGCTTGGCCTCTCTCCACAGAATGACTAACAACCAGTAGACAACGCTGCAAAAAGCACAAACTCTGTAAGTAAATTTTGTTCCGCTGCTTTGCTTGAAACAAAAACAAAAATGGCCATGTTGAACCAGCATCTCCGAAGGGGGAGCTTTAGGTTATAATTGTGTCCAGGCTATCATCATCATCATCATGTGCCCCGCCAACTGGCATAGGCGCTCATGCGTCTCCACAGATCACAATCCCTGGTTGCCTGAAACAGCTCTCTTGATGATATCTAGGCTATGTGCGCCATATAAAATGGCTTGGCACTGCACGCCACCAAGAGCCACTCCTACAGTGTTGATGCGATCAAAGGAAACAGACCCAAATGCTGTCCTGGCCGGCGACTAAGTCATCTACTAGCCAGCCAATGGGCGACCCGGTCGCAGATGTACTCAGTAAGTCAGCCAATGATCTCCATAAACCTTGCACTCGAAAACACGTCATTGAAACCAGCCTATGAACTTTTTTGTGGATTCCCTGAGAACAGGGTTAACAAAAAAAAATAGTCTTTAGATTTATTATTTTGCCCCCTTTCATGAAAATCTTCATTTAAAAGTGAAAGATTTTTACGTTGTGAAGGGAAACCACAATGACCCGGAAGTAAATGTGGTCAGTATTAACCATCTCATTTGACTGTTTCATTCTTATTATTCTTCGTGTTCACCAGCTGTAAACTCCAGCGCAAAGTTCTGGGTGTTCGTCCACCTCCCAATTTCAGCCTTCCTCCAGAACCTGAGTGCACATCCATTTTACAACTTTGGCTTGTGTGCAGACTGTTAGTTCCTCACCTTTCCGGCAGACGCACACGGAGTTTGAATAAAACAACCCTAAATAGTGGCCTTTCACAACAGACTCGTTAAGGAGCTGCGTGTCTATTCTTGTGACCTTCAAAACAGGACCCCCGAACGCAAATGGGAAAGTTACAGCATCAGATCCCACACTGGGATGATGATGATGATGATGATGAATATAAAAAAGGACCCTTTTCCACGCCCTTATGGGTATTCAGAATATACGGCTACATCTATATTTTTATAGCCTGATCAACACTTAGTGGGTGATGTGGTCAGTATCATGCCATCCGCCTTGACTTCCCAGGACTGCACCTGGTACCCACTCAAGGCTTCGTCAACCTGGGCGTCCAGGTCATTACTGAAAAAAGTCCGGCTCCAGCAGGACGCACACCCATGACCATCCGATCTGCAGGCGGGCGTCAAGCCTCCAACGCCACGCAACTCCAGATGATGAATATAACTAACTATTAAATGCACAAATACTCTGTGTAGTTCATAAGTTACTAGCTTTGGGTATCACACACATGGACCGTTGTGGCCAGGTTTCTTTGCCGTTGTTAGATGTCTTTCATTTATTATCTCCCTAAATGGTTTCTTGAACATCTTGTGTGTTTGATATCATACTCCGTGCTGGCGCACTATTACTGTCACGAACTGTCCTCGGTGCACTATTACTGTCGTGAACTGTCCTTGTTGCACTATTACTGTCATGAACTGTCCCTGGTGCACTATTACTGTCATGAACTGTCCCTGGTGCACTATTACTGTCATGAAAGCTGGCTAATGCGCTATTACTTTCAAGATATTTTGCTGACGCACTGTTATAATCATGTAAGGGTGTATTATTTTGGTTACGAACAATAACTGATGCACTGTTACTGTCCTGAAAGGTTGCTGCTGCACATTTGCTATCCAGAAAGGTCACTGGTGCATAACTGCCGTCCTGCAAGGTCGTTGTGATATTTCCTGGCTTCTGTCTACAGTGCATATCTAACCGTACCTCTTGAAGGGGCAACAAGTGTCCGTACTCACTGACCTCTTCCGAACTGGAAATATTCCAAGATAAGGGACTAGAAGATGTTGAAGAGTTCGTCTGAACTGGAAGTGACTGTAACTGAGCAGGGTCACGCGCCTGCGGAGATTGTTCTGTCAGTAAGTCTGTCACATTTTGATTGTGTCCTGGCACCAGCAGAGACTCAGCTGTTGGCTTCTTGTAGGAGATATCAGATATGTTATGATGATACGTTGACCCAGGAAGTAAGTCTGTAGAAATAAGCTGCTGGCTGTGAAGAAGCGGAGAAGGTGTGGCGCCAGTTCTTGAGCTGCTGGTTCCTGCCTGTAGACCTGTGACAGGAAGTAAGTTTCCAGAGTGAACTTGCTGGCCATGAATTAGTGGAGAGGGCACGGTGCTGGTTCTTGGGCTGCCAGTTCCTGTCTGTGGACCTGTGACAGGAAGTAAGTTTCCAGAGTGAACTTGCTGGCCATGAATTAGTGGAGAGGGCACGGTGCTGGTTCTTGGGCTGCCAGTTCCTGTCTGTGGACCTGTAATGTACGGGACACCCTGACGAAATGTGTTAACTGATGTCAGTGAGTGGGAGCGTGTGGGAATTATGGTGTCTTCACACTCTGGCTCTCTGGTCTTTCCCTGAACTGCCAGCAGAGGCATCATTTCTTCGATGATCGAGGATGTGTCATACACATGAGAAGATACTTCTCCAGACTCGCTCAACAAGCAGGTGTAGGAGGGAATCGAGGAAAATGACCTGCGCGACCATTCAGAAGGCTGCCTGCTAGTTGCACACGAGGCTGGGTTCGGGTCTGCTCCAGGTTTAGATGCCAGAAAATGTAAACTATGGCTGGCCGGGTTGCTTGTAACACCAGGAGTGTTACACAGCGCTGGTTGTGCAGCATTGTGTTCACAGCATGTTGTTTTAGCTGGTTCATGACTGAAACACTGATTAGTACGAGCCGCAGGATATAATGTCGTAACAAACTGTTCGGCCTGTTCTGATTCAGGGCACATCTCAGAGCTGAGATTGCCTGTGGGCTCATGTGTGAAAAACTGATACCCTGAGTGGCTGATCAACTGTGGGGAGGGTGAACTTTCCAAATGTGAAGAGCCATGGTGTGGACAGATGTTCAAGCTGGTATAACTGTTGTACATGCCGCAGGTCTCCTCATATGTCGGAGGGGCCTCATTGTGATCCTCATGGCTCATAAAACTAGGACAATTACTGCTGCAGCTTTGAGCTATGTCCATGTAAGACGGTGGGGCCAGATCGTTGTTGTTTCTGCAACTGAGCAAATAATTTAAGTCTTAATTCAATTTCTTCAATGTAAATTCTTATTGTCAGTGCTAAATTCATTCTAGCATGACAAACACAATGCAGAGACTAATAGAAAATTATGATTTGGATAATAAGCAATGAGTGACCGGAAAGGGGTGGGGGGGGGGGGGGGTGGTCTAGGCAACAATCTAATTTCAGAGACAAGGCAAGACGGACATTTAGTCGAACAGCTTCCCATGTGGGTTCCGGGGCCCTATTATATAGAAAACAAGAATAGACACACTGTCTACCCAAAAGCATGTCGTAAGAGTCGAGTGATTGGGAGCTTCCTTCAAAGCAGGAGTGCATCTGCCTGAGAGGCAAGGAACCAACAGTTTGCATACAAATGAGTTTAGATCTGTCAAACGGATGCAAACACAACACTCAGGTTCTGAAACATGACTGCAGTCCTGAAGTGGGCGAACAACCAGAACTTTCTGCCAGAGCAGGTGAACGCGAAGAAGAAGAATCAAACTGCTAGTGGCCCTTTTCAGAACTAGAACTCTTTGCTGCTGCTGAACATCAGTATAGAATGCTTACATGAATGTGCATAGTGCTATGATGTCAGTTGTTAGCTCAATACTCAACATTTAAACACAAGCCCGTTCAGACTAATTTAATAAAAAGTAAGCAACAAAGATTTTGTATATAAGGACCCATACAGATTAATCTCAACAAAAACAAAAGCAAAGATTTAAAAAAAATAAAAAACATCAGCAATGACTTCCTATTGTGACGAAATGACCTCAGTTTTTTCAGAAGTTATGAGGTTTAATAATTTTTTATGTTCAATACAGAAACTTGAATTATATTTACTATGCATTAACTCTTCAAATCCCGAGCAACGTTGATTGAAAAGTTCAGTTTTGCCCAAAAAACACTCATGGTCAATCGTGTGTCCCATACATATTGCTTCAGACAAGGCTCTGTACTTGTTTCTAATGTTCGGAACTACGATTTAAGTATTCAGGGAAAGTCACTCTAACAATTTACTTTTAACAACATTCTGTATCCCAAGCCACAAGTATTGATCGGATTCATAGCTAGATTTTTTTTCAACAGTGCATTTTCTAAGTTCGTTTTCGAGTGCCATGAATACCAATGTTCCAACCATAAGTACAGGTTGCAGAATGCATCTTTCTGCGGCCAAAGCTCTGAAATTGTTTCAGTCAGATGTTATTAAATTCTGACAACGATAATGAAAATTTAGATTTGTTGGAAAATGATTCAGACAGGGAATTTTCACCAGTAAAACTGAGCGATCAGCTTTTGGGAATCTAGCAATTCTGATGAGTTTACACAGCAATTTCCCACTGCTACTGTATTTATGGGGTAAGAGAAGGAAAGTGCTCCAAACAGAGAGACAGTACTATACTATGGCTAAGCTACATTGAAATCATTGCAGCTACCATCTGTATATAACTGTACAAAGTAAATAGTGTGTGTTTATTGGCCCATTTTTCTGCAATTTTTTCTCTGAAATTTTGCTTAGCACTCTGTGAGAACTAAGAGCCACCTGAGTGCTAAACTAACCCAGAAACTTATCATAACTTTAGAATTTGTTTAAAAAATTTAACAAACTTTGAAGTGTTGCTCTCAAATTTGGATATTCACTACTCTTGTTGCTGCAAAACAATGGTAAGTACAGAATTTGTTTGTAAAATTATGTTGTTGTGAAATTAACACCTGCTGAATTCTTCTTTCCTACTAATTAAAACAAAATGAAACATACACTTATCATCAGATTCAAAATGCACATTCATTTCTCTTTAAAAAATATATATACTTTTATAGGGATTAGAAGTATATTACATTCTATATTGCCTTTCTTTTACACAGCCCCCTCCGCCATTTTTGTAAAGGGAAATTAATGTGGGCCAAGTCTGTCAAAATTCATGGGCCTGAAAGAGTTAAGCCCAAATATTACTTAAACCATGTGGGATTTAAAATTGTTTCCAGTCTTAGCCCAGACAAAGAAATTAGTCCTGACCTAAGACTGCATAATATTGGCTAGTCTGTCTTCTTCTTCTTCTTTACTTCCTCTTTTACCGCTGTGGGTGTCGAGGGAGATATAAGGTTCTGTTTCTAGCTAGTCTGTCTACCTGGGGAAACCAGAGTGTCTTAAAGGTTACATAATAGGCCAGACTAGGCCCTATGAACCGGCCAGCTCAGGGCAATTAACCTGGTCAAGTAGGAATCTCTTGACATGATGGCTCCCCTTGAACGGCTTTTCACACCTTACAGTGACATTGGAAAAAACTAGATTTGTGGTCTCAAGAATGTTTGATCAGTAGGGGCAGTCAAGAATTGATTGACAGGAACAATGAAGGATAACTGTAGTTTGAAGGTACCTCAGGAGGGTGGCTTAGATCCTCTCCTGTAGGATAGTTTGATGAAGATAAAGGGCAGGAGCTACTCTACAAATTGACATGAGGGGGACAGATTAACATAGCTGGGAGTTTGAATTTAAATCAGTTTGCAGACTAGCCTGCCACAAACTCAGATCAACAGCAGAAAGTACTTCTAGCTGTGTGTCTTGTGTTTGACAAACTGCTGGAATTTTCTCACGTATGACTATCAGTTTTACTCTTTTATTCATCTGTTGGGAGTCTAACTTCTCTACTATACCTTTCCTGATTTATCTAATAGTGCTAACTACACATTCTGCTTGAAATAGTTCTTTGTGAGTATTCATTTATCTCAAGGAGATCACTTCAGAGGTCCCGGGTAGTTAGCCTCCTTTGAATATTTTCTCCAGGTTATGCCGGTGTGTTTGGAAATGAGCAGGCAGATAGACTGGCCGGCTCTGCGCCACTTGGTGGTGAACTGATGTATGACAAGCTGGATTTCATGAGGGCCTTTGGGAACTAGTGAACAGTGCAGATGCTAAGATAGATCATTACGGTCTGAGGAGAATGGCGCTGCGAGGAGTTACCAAGGGATGTGGCCGATGCTCAACACTCAGGGGAAGAATGAGACAAATATACAATCAGATGGCTACTGGTGCCATCGGAATTGGAACTCTTCGCTTGCTGCTGAAGATGGGGACGGAGCCCTTACGGGAGTGTCCTGAGTGCTGTGATGTCGATTCTTAATTCAACATTCAACAGTTAGGGAGCTGGTAAGCTACTACTATTTCTCGAATGTTTGTATCACATGTTTTTCAGTGTATGTTTTCATGTTTTTAAAATAAGATTTTAATAATGATTTACCATAATGAAATGTAACGAAATTAAAATGTTTTAAACATCAACCAAAACATGTGCATGGGCTGTGAGGAAATGATGCCCACATATGCAGCCATGTGGTGACAATTTTGATAGCACCATGTGTTCAATAAAATGTGTCTAACTACCCAGGGGGTTGAGAACCCAGGGAAAAACCATGAGAGTACATAATTAACTATCACTGACAATTTACTATTCAGGATAGCAGGCACATATATTTTAGGGTTTTTAGCCCAAAACCTGTGCCATATGTTCCCGCCAAAGCAATGTCAGCGAGTTTCGAAGTCTGAGTGAAGACAGACAACAGACTTAAGACTTCAACTATCGTGACAGATGTTTTTATTAGGATATGCATGTTTTGTGTAAGTCTAGATACTACACATGTGCTTTTGTTTGTTAGGACTTTAACTAACTATCATGACAGTACATGAAGGCAGGATTTGTAGGACGACAGTGTGAGACATAAGACCTTCAGACTAGACTTGAGAGGATGTTGATATGAAAAGAGAGATGAGATGTTTTTATTAGGATACACACGTTTTGTGCAAGTCTAGATACTACACATGTGTGTTTGTTTCAATTATTACAGGGGCAAAGACCAGTCAGAAGCAGAGGGTCTGTGTACGAGCCTACATTGCGTGGGAGATCAGCAAACTGGGAAAAGCTGGAAAGGCAGGAAAAGATGGAAAACCTAAGCAGGGCCTCAACTGAGGGCTCTCTGTGGTTTCACAAAGTTAGGTTCAGTATTTTTGTTCGTAAACTTATCATCATCATCATAATATCACTCTAATCTCAGGTGCTCAGTTTTCTAGCTCAAGCATCTCATTACCACCATACCATCCGCCAGTCACTGAGTGAGTGTGTTGTGTTAAAATGACAAATGTCAGCTAAATGACTTATAGTATACTAACGCAAAATATCAAGTTTTATACTACATCATTTGCCCTAGTGTATTTGTTTTTACATGTTTAACTAAACTGTTAGATAGAATTACATTTGGTAAAAAAAAAAAAAGTAAAGTTCCCTTTTCACGCCTTTCGGCGCATCGGGCATATGGGCAGAGCGTCCCATATTTTTACAGACCACCAGCACTCTGTGGGTAATGTGGTCAGCATTACGCCGGCTGTCTTTACTTTCCCAGGACAGCCCATCCTGGTACCCATTTTTAGGCTGGGTCGACCTGCGACGTCCCCATACCACGACAAAAATCCACGCAGCCTGCAGTGGGTTTCGATCGCGGTATGCTGGCTCACGAGTCGGACTCGCAACGCCTTAGCCACGGACGCCTATATATAGGGGCTCTTTAATAATAATTCTTTACCACAAGGAGGTTGTCGAGAGAGGTCAGCTGCCATCACCCAAGCCACCCGAGAAGTGCAAGACAAATATAGAAATCTGGGCTACAACCTGGTATCAGTGAGATAACAACAGAAGAAGCAGAAGAAGCTCACTTGATGAAGTCATGAATGGGCTCCTCGCTGTCCCATGCTTCAATGACAATGGTGGCAGCACCATTCCCATCATCATGGTCGACGACTGCGGTGACTCCGCCTGTGTTGACAGTTTCCATCTATGAAAGAAACATACATAATATTACTCCTTCTGTGGGTTGAAGGGCCCATTCTTTGGGGATGGATAGGGGTAGGAATGGATGGGGGGGGGGGGTGATAAGCTACTGACCTTTAACCAGGATGATGTAAAAGGTAGCCAATTAAGGATTTACTGAAATCAGATGTGATGGCCTGAAAGGCACAGATAACCCAAACTAGTTGTAAACCTCAGAACAACATTGCAACCATACTTTTCAGGTCGAAAGCAGATGGAGAAGGAAGTAGGAGATGGAAAAGCAGAAAAAGAAGAAGTTGAAAAGCAAAGGCAACAGTGGGGGAGGAGGAGGAGGAAAAGACCATCACAATACCACTGCTGAAAAAAATCCATTATTTCATGGCAACTGAAAATTCCACCAAGAAGTCGATGGAGAAATAATGTCCAGGCAGGCAGACCTGCAAACACTTGGTACTGCCAAATGGAAAGAGAAGGCCAACCAGAAAGATGAATGGAGGCGGATGATATCTGCAGCAATGAACCTCAAGGGCTCGGAATGCTGAAGAGGGCCAACCACAGAGATGAATGGAGGTGGGTGATATCTGCAGCAATGAACCTCAAGGGCTCGGAATGCTGAAGAGGGCCAACCACAGAGATGAATGGAGGTGGGTGATATCTGCAGCAATGAACCTCAAGGGCTCGGAATGCTGAAGAGGGCCAACCAGAGAGATGATCGGAGGCGGGTGATATCTGCATCAATGAGCCTCAAGGGCTCGGAACACTGAGGAAGAACTGAAAATTCCACTCACTTCATTACCTGACTGCCAGTGCAATAACCTTGTTTGCACTTGTAGCTGGCTTGCCGCCTCAGCTCTACCTGTGAGATTGTTGTATTTACCCTGGTCTTGCACTCGTTCTACCATCTAGGGATTATAACACACAAACGACGCTCTGTCTCCATTGTATCAGCTATCAGTTTATTCTTCCACATTCAATGATACATGCTGACGATTATTCACGCATCCTTATCTTCCAACCAACCATTACCACTAGTCATCCACACAACATTGGAACTATCTCCTTTAATAAAACTACACCTTTTAATAAGACAACTGACTTCTGTGAATTCTCTGATGCGACTGAGTACGAGTCTAGCTCGGGTCTGCCCACATCTACTCAACTGGCCCTAAGAATCTCGTGAGGTTGTTTGTCGCACAGATTTTCCTCTTGGCTCGCTGTGAGCCTGGAGACCATGCAAAGCAGGGTCAACACAGCCAGCAGCTAACACTTTCTGTGGACTGGAAAAAATTTCAAGATCCCTGACACCCTTCTAGCTGGAGTCCTTTCATGAATGAATTGTTCCCACTAGAAAAACACAGCCTTGTGTGATAGCAGCAGTAAAAAAAAAAAAAAAAGAAGTAAAGGACCCTTTCCCCACCTTTAGGCGTATAGGGCAAGACCTATATTTTTATAGACCAACGGCACAAGATGGGTGATGTGGTCAGCAACACGCCGGCCGCCTCTACTTCCCGGGATTGCACCCGGTACCCACTCAAGGCTGGGTCGACCTGGGAGCCAAGGTCATTTTTGAAGAAAAGTCCGTCTCCGCCAGGGGGCAGCAGTAAACAGACACATAATTCATTCAATATTTTGTCAAAAACAATAATGTGCAGGCTGCTGAAGATGAGGATGGGGTGCTTGTCTCGCATGACCTGAGTGCTGTAACACTGGTTCTACATTCCCTTTGGAACAAATGTTCTATAAATGTAAAGAGTCCTAACGTACCAGATTCTCAATAAAACTATCCCATCTGCAGGACAAACTCATATCTTCTTCTTCTTTTGTTAATATCTGGTTAAGCCACTAGGCGTTGCAGTTCATCAAGATGATCGGCAGTCAAGCTAGGGAGCGCTCATTCGCTTGATATACCGTGATGTTATGCAGTCTCAATGTGTCAGTGACTCCTTCAATCCATCTTCTTCTCTAGCTCACTTCCGACTGGTCGACCTTTAGCCTAGCTCACTTTCCATTGGTAGACCTTGAGCCACCTGACCTTGGCACAAGGTGACAGGGGTGTTTCCCAATGCTGTTGACATTGCATCTTCCCCTCCCTCTTGATGTTTCCACTTTTAAGGTGGTATGCTCTTGCTGCTGGCATCATTGGTTTCATTCCCATTAGATGCCCAAACCAAATCAAGGATTTTTCTCAGGGATTACTCCCAAAGTATCTTGCCTAGAAAATGTATTGCCTCAAAGCAATGGAGGTGTAAGATCAGAGTTGTCCTAACAAAACAAAAAGAATTAACATGAAAATAAACGTACTGATGTGAAAACATGTCTCTACCTGCACAGGTTCATTCCTAGTCCGGTTTCTCCGACGGACAAGCATAAACTGTCTCAGAGACAACAGCCACATGAGAAGTGCTAGAGCTATCAGTAGGGGTCCGGTCATGGAGATCTTGCCACCAAATACATCATTAAATCCTGAATAAATATACAGACATAGACAGCATTTAATCTTGGATACATGGAAAGACAGAGGCATCATTAAATCCAGGATAAAGACACAATCAGCCTTAAATCCAAGATAAACATACAGACATAGATAGCAAAACAATTCCTAGACAAACAGGCAGACATAGACAGCAAAAAAATTCCTGGACAAACAGGCAGACATAGATAGCAAAATAATTCCTGGACAAACAGGCAGACATAGACAGCAAAACAATTCCTGGATAAACAGACAGACATAGACAGCAAAACAATTCCTAGACAAACAGGCAGACATAGATAGCAAAACAATTCCTAGACAAACAGGCAGACATAGATAGCAAAACAATTCCTGGACAAACAGGCAGACATAGATAGCAAAACAATTCCTGGACAAACAGGCAGACATAGATAGCAAAACAAAATTCATGAATAAAGCTCTCCCACAGTGTGCACTTTCATATTCAAGGAGTCACTTTTATCTTCTGCCCATTTTCATGTCGGTCGACCCCTGCCCCTCCTTCCCAGTACCATGCCTTCTGCTATTATTGTGTTTAATCTGCCATGGTGCTTGATATGAACCAAAGTTTTTTGGCTTTCGATTCAAGATACTGTTTATTAACCAATCTTCCTTCATGCTCTTCTTCTTCTTCTTTTTCACTTCCTCTTTTACCGCTGTAGGTGTCGACGGAGATATAAGGTTCTGTTTCTAGCTCTTCGGGCTGCCTCGACCATAGGCACATCGTGCTGTTGTAGAGTTTCTCTGATGTTATCCTTCCATCTTGTTCTTGGTCTACCCCGTGCTCTACGTCCTTCTTCTCTATCCATGTATGCTTTGTATGGTATGGTGTCACAAGGCATTCTCTCTAAGTGGGCAAACCATTTCACTTGCTGTCTTTGTATGTAATCCAGAATTGGTTCTGTGCCGACTTGTTCTCTTATGATCTCATTCCTGATCTTATCTCTTATATTCACTCCTACAGCCCTTCTCAGACATCTCATTTCGGTGGTTACTAATTTTCTTGTATGGTTTGTTGTGAGTGACCATGTCTGGCACTGGTAGCACAGAGTTGGAATAAATATGCTTTGAATAAGATGTCTCTTTGTGCTGATTGGAATTGTCTTATGCTGTAAGAGGGGGGCTAGCTGTCCCAATACCTTGGTGCTCAGATGTTTTAAAATATCAGAATTTCTTCTCCTCTCTCTCCATGGTATTCTGTTAATCTTTCTAGGGCATTTCAGCTCAAAAGCCCTTATTTTCTCCCTAATGACTGGGAGATAATCCAGGACTCATATCTGTATATTGCTACATAGGAGATGCATGCTCTCAAAATTGTAATTTTGATTTCAAATGCTGGTCTTTAGTGCATAGACTTTACAAGTATAATGCTCTAATCTTATCAAAGTTAAAACAAAAGAGTTCATTATCACTGAAATTACCAACCGAGCCAAGTTAAAATGGTCCCAATCAGAAGCAGCACAGTCGCCACAGTGGAGAACAAAATCCCTCTGCGAAGAGGCTCCTTCGGATCAGGCGGGCTAAACGATGAAGACGGGAAAAATGTCCTCAGCGCTGACCGCTGGCGATGCCTGTTAGGCATGTAAGCCTGAGCAGGCGTGAACAACATGAGGTAAGTTTTAGGCTGTCACTCTCACACCTGAAAAAAAAAATTAGGTGAGTACTTCTTCTTCTTCTTTGTGTTTACCAGCTGTAAACTCTACCGGAAAGTTCTGGTTGTTCATCCACTTCTGGACTGCAGTCCTGTTCCAAAACCTAAGTGTCGCGTGTGCATCCGTTTTACAGATCTGACTCATTTGTATGCAGACTGCTGGTTCTATGCCTCTCAGGCAGATGCACTCCGACTTCGAAGTTGACTCTTACGACATTCTTTTGGGTAAGCAATGGGTCTATTCTTGTTTTCACTATAATAGGGCCCCGGAACCTACATGGGGACGATATATACACTTCTCGTCCTTTTTAGGAGGACATTTTTTGTTATTTGAAGCCCTACTCTGGCTCTTGCCAGAGGCCGCAATATAGCCTGGCCATAAATATGGCCTAAAGGCTGAACGCGGTTTCTGGGCCCTCTCCACAGTGATCCTCACCCGCATTGTGGCACATTGTGTCATCGGGTGTTTATCGCTTGTGTGATGTCCTGGTGGGGTAGAAAGTCAGTCATATGGGGATGGTGAGTACAGACAATGGAAAAGATGGAGTGATGGCATTAAGAACAGCCTTACAGAAATGAACATCAGTCTTAAAAGTTCTCTTGACAGAGCTCATCAACGAACGTTACATTTCCTCTCGACACTTCGATGAGGTACAAGGTGGAAGAGAAGAAGAAGACTGAAAATGGTTGTATCAACACAAGATAAACTCAGGTGACTTGTGGAAACAGTGTTCTTCTTCTTTATGTTCACCGGCTGTAAACTCAGGGGAAAAGTTTGATTGTTTGTCCACTTCTGGACTTTGGTCTTGCTCCAGAACTTCAGTGCACATCCATTGCACAGATCTGGCATATTTATATACATAATAAACAAATAGTGTATTGATCAGCACTCTTAGAAAGAAGCAGAAAGATAGAAGGACATATCAGACAACATAAAAATTGAAAGCTTTAATTGCCATGCCAGGAATTGAATCGTACAGCTTAAAATCCACAACTATGGAATAGACAGAATTCATCTTAAACCTTTGAAATGGCACCATAGGTTACATAAATTTAGATTAACCAAGCAAAGGTCAAATAACATACACTGCAACAATTCATAAACACAGTAGACCGTAATGCTTTGTCTAGAATCTGTAAACTGTTTATTTATTTATGGCATATCTATATGCAGACTGTTGGTTCTTTTAGAAGTTGACCACTAATTGGTCAACTCTTCTGACATGCTTTTTAGGTGAACAGTGAGTGTATCCCCCCCCCCCCCTCTTCCCCCCACAATGGGGCTCGGGAAACCACACAGGGAGAACACTGTTTTAACTATATAAAATAGCCAACAGAGGGAACTTTGAATGTTGAATTAATAATCGACATCACAGCACTCGGGACACTTCCATAAGTGCTCAGTCCCCATCTTCAAAAGCAAAGCAAAGAGTTCTATTTCCGACTGAACCAGTGACCGTCTGATTGTATATCCGTCTCAGCCTTCCCCTGAGTGTTGAGCGTCTGCCAGATCCCCTGGTAACTGCTCAAAGCACCATTCTCATTAGACCGTGATGATCTATCTGCGCATCCGCACTGTTCACTCATTTCCAAAGGGCCCTTACAATATCTAGCTTGTCATACATCAATTCACCACCAAGTGGTGCAGAACCGGCCAGTCTATCTGCCTGCTCATTTCCCAACACACCGGCATAACCTAGAAAAAATATCCAAAGGATGCCTACTACCCGGGACCTCTAAAGTGATGCTTGCCACTCTGCACGAAGCATGCCTGTCTCCACCTTTCTCAAAATGCTCTGTGAGTCAGTTACAATCACGGCATGTGTGTACAGCTGATTCTCAAGTGAACGGAAGGCAGCAGGCAACTTTGAAAACTGTTACTCTCACAGTAAGCATGTGCTATGCTGATAAATGTAAGCTGTCCTGTTTCTCTAACAAACAAACAAAAGACACCCCAAAAATTGCACAACTTTTCGGGTTGCTTTTAATATAAGCCCTACCCCAAAAACTGAGCTCTAACTGAGATCTTTAATTAGAATGAGAGATTGCTGAATGGCCATTTTGAGTATTTATGGGATAAAATCACTGACAGCTGGTAGTCTGAGTTTCAGCTTCATAGCAAACAGGTCACCCCATCGTTGCTCCGCTCCTGTGCCAATGAAAAACACACAGAATATTTATCACAGCCCCTTGTGGAAAGACAGAGACTGCTGTCTCAGCATATCTAGCATACACATGCATCAAAAGCAAATGGTAGCGATCCAAAGTGCTAACACAAACAGTCTGACAGAAGAAATGCAGTTCATCATTGATGGTAGCAGAAGTCACCAACAGATCAGCAGTTGCATACACGATCACTTTTAATCATATAAGGGCACCACCAACATTGCGATGACAGGCATCGCGCCATTTTCTGAATATACAGTTTACCCCACCACGTTAGTCACAGTTAATAAAACAGTCAAAATGAAATCTGCAGCTTACAGTGTCACGCCATACATTCAACTCAGAAGCTGGGCGACGAAACTATATCCAGTCTACAAATGGAGCAAAAATGCAACAGCCACCGTCCGGCAGAAGCAAAAAATTTGCCTCGGCTCCAAACAGTGCCCCTGCCTAGCGTCCATCAGCTATGTTACCAATGCACTGCGAGCAGGCTAGATGGACAAGAAATGCTTATTAAAGGAAAGCTTTATTGCTGGGACCAATGATTCTTTTTTCAAACTCGGTCACAAGAAACTCATGGAGAAGAGAGCTGGAGAATGAAGTTAGAAAGATGGGGAGAGCTCCATGTAATGGCCAAGGATAGAACGACTTGGCGTGAGTTGGTTGAGGGCCTATGCTCCATTGGGGGATAAAAAAAGGCAGAAGAAGAAGCCAATGATTCTTTTTCAAACTCGGTCACAAGAAACTCAGGCTAGAATTCCTGATCTGCAGAGTTACAACAATGTTCCAGAAGAAGATGATATTACTGTATTTGAATAAATGTAGAATTTTGCATGCTAATAAAAGTAGATTTTAGTACATGAATAGATATAAATTTGTGTACATGAATAAATGTAGATTTTTGTATCTGAAAATAAAAGATATCCCCCGAAAATTAGCCCTAGTTTATCTTTTTTTGTAAGCAAAAATCAATATAAGACCAGTCTTATTTTAGAGGAAACATGGGAGCAAGTTTTTTGCTCTTTTGTAGAACATCGCTCTTATCACAGTCTGCCTTAAAGAAACTTGGGTAATAGAAGGTTAGTTCCCCCACGGACCGCCCACATACACCCTAGCTCACTTTCTATTGGTCGACCTTTAGCCTAGCTCACTTCTCATTGGTCGACCTTGAGCCACCTGAACTTGGCACAAGGTGACAGGGGTGTTTCACAATGCCACTGACATCACATCTTCTATATTTCAGCATTCCAGAGCTTTTAACACTTCAAAACATCGACAAACTGGGTCTAACACACAAAACCTTTAGAGAGTAATGAAACCTATGTCACAGGAATTCTCTTTCTCTGAATAAAAAATTTAATGCAAGATATCCTAGAAAGCAAACAACAGAGCAGCACACACATAACGTCCAGCAGGTTAGACCAGTTGAAGAAAGTTATAAATGGAACATGATCTACTTTGGGTGGGGAGACTAACGTTTGTTTGATCGAAACTTGATCTCTTACTAGATTTCCCATCTCGTTCACTTTCCTACCCAGTGTCACTTTTATCCTGTCCTCATCTTCATGCCGGCTGGCCCTGTACCTCTTTCATGGCACTAGGTAGGAAGGTAGTTGTACCCCACCAGGACATCACACAAGCGATAAATATCCGGTGACACAAAGTGCCACCATGTGGATGAGGATCACCCGTGGAGAGGTCCCAGAAACCCCTTTCAGCAGTTATGGCCATGTCTATGGCTAGGCCATATTTATGGCCTGGCTATATTCAGGGCCCCCGGCAAAAGCCAGTGTAGGGCTTCGAATAACAAAAAAAATTGCATTCCATGAGGGGACGACTTCAACTGTAATATTCATGGCACTATGTCTTCTAATCCGCTGTGGTACTTCATATGGCTAAATATTTTATCTTCTGAGGCAGGATGCTGTTTACCAGCCAATCTTCCTTGATGTTCACATCTTTGGGATGTTAGTATTTCTGTTTTTCTTGGTTCATTGTATTCTGAGAATCTGTATACGGCACCATGGGCTGTGTGGTCTTGGGGTATGGCATCTGCCTCAAGTGCTGGAGTTCTTAGTTCAAACCCCGTGAAGGCTGGGATTTTGTCATGTAAACTTCTAGTAATTTACCCTGGTTGCTGGGCAGTAAGACTAGACATCCGTGTGAATTGCTGCATAAAATATGTAAGTTAATTAAACTGTAGTTTAATTTGTTTATAAATTTACTCGATAACAATAGTGAGCACAGACCGGCCTAACACAACAGGAATTTCCCTAGATCTGTTGGGCCTTACTACTGGTGCTGGTTGTCAGTCAACATTGCAATAAAAATTGTATGGAACTAAAAGGGACCCCCAAAAAACAGTCAAGTTCATCACATGTCTGGCAGTGTAGATCAGAAAGCAAACAGAAGAAGAAAAAATTTGAGTCAATCAACTACCAACAGTTAATCAGTCTGCAAATCTCTCAATGAGTGAGTCAAATCAACTCAATTTGTCTACTACTTACTAGCCTACTCAATCGCAAAAGTCTAAAGTCAATCATCACTAGTAACCTGTCAGACACAGTCAAAGTACATGAATGACTGACTCAACCTCAGTATAGTATTATTAGTATTATAGAAGTAGTGATTTAAGTAGCATTAAAGAAGGTCTGTTAGCAGTCACGTTAACGATTTTTGTTTACTTAGTTAAGTGCCACTGAATGAGCGAAACTGTTTAGGAAAGAATTAAGAATGGTGAATGGTGACCATAACAAAACACCTTAAAAGTAAACAGCACATCATTTCGCCAT